ATGGCTGCAGCCATGGAGCATGATGTCACATGACTAAGTGTGATTTCCTGCTGGCTTCCCCATTGACTTTGCTTATCAGGAACTGGCTAAAAAAATCGTAAATAGCAGTCACATGACCGCAGGACTTTGCAATACCGGTAGTTGTAAATGTGCACTGGTTGCCAAGCACCCAAATCTTAAATCATGTCAACTGGGGGTGGGGTGGGGGTGATGCAGTGGCCACAACTTTGGGAACCAGTTGCAATCTTCGATGCAACTTCAAATGGCTACTGAATGAATGATAAGCCAGGACTACCTGTATTAATTTGAAACCATACTGAGGACATTTCTCTCGCAAGACTTCCCAGAAACACCTTATCACATTTACTTAGCTGTCTTTTTTATGTGGGCGGGTCATTTCCACATACAGCACTGGACTATCTCCCCTGTAATTTTCATTTTCTAAGAATGCTCTGTATACATACATACACATACATAAACATACATAAAGGATACTGAGGCATTGCTGGAAATAAAAGTGTTACTTGAGCAAATGTCCTTTGCAGTATGCTAATTTCTCATTACTTTAAAATATGTTAATGTTCATGTGTGCTATGGTATTTGTGAATATAGTAACAAGTTTATATATTTGGAAAATATATCCATCTTAGCTGATCTAAAGTCCTATAACAGTTTTACAAACTTTACATTCTATTACTGCTGCATTCTATTAAATTAATCTTGATTGATTGATTAAGTGTCATCAATTTCAACTCTTAGTGGCCACATAGATCTGCTGTCTAAGTGTATCTTAGCTGATGGAAATTATTGTTTTAAAAGTATATTTTCTGAATCTGTTACTTTTATTTTAGAGAGGTGCTCCATAATCCTTGAGAGGGAAAAGAGATTTGAGTCTAAATAGTTGATCTTTTCATGCTTTTTTTCATCTGCCAGCTTGATAAAACTGATTATTTATGTTTTGGGGGTAAATAGCTGTTGAGCACATGAGTTTTTAATATATTACCATTTCAAGAAGATAAAAACCTTAGGCTACCAAAGGGAGTGTTCTGATTTTTAAAAAGTTATATAACTCCTAGTTTAGATGAAACCTGACATATTTCTATTTTGTCCTGACTGCAGCTATATTCATATTTATGGTTTAAGTGTCTCCCTCTTGCTGCATTTTGTTGTTCACAACAATTCTGTAAGGCACGTGAGGTACCAAGTAAACAGCTCCAGAAGATCAAAGTTATTTCATGGAGTGATTTGCATATGCTGTCCTAAATCCAGCCAATATTTCTATTTGCTGAGATTCCAGTTCAAGATTAGTGCTCCTCCTTGTTTATGACCAGTGAGCTGTCAGCACTCTGGTCATATTGATATCATGTGCCAGGCTAGAATGTGATTGAGTTGTCTGTGGTTTACTGCTGTTGTGCAAGACTTGTTAAAGATTAAAGGTTCCCCTCCCACATATGTACTAGTCATTCCCAAAACTAGGGGGCAGTGCTCATCTCTGTTTCAAAGCCGAAGAGCCAGCGCTGTCCAAAGATGTCTCTGTGGTCATGTGGCCAGCATGACTAAACGCTGAAGGCACATGGAACACTTACCTTCCCACCAAAGGTGGTCCCTATTTGCATTTTTATGTGCTTTCAAACTGCTAGGTTGGCAGAAGCTGGGACAAGTAACGGGAGCTCACTCTGTTATGCGGCACTACAGATTCGAACCACCAAACTGCCGACCTTTCTGATGGACGAGCTCAAATGTACCACTGAGCTAAAACAAAGCCAATCCTGAATAAATCTGGGTGTGGAAGGGGACCACTAGACTGTCCTGGGCTCTTTCATACAACCTCGGGAATTCTGAAAGTTGAAGTCCACATATCTTGTCCTTGCCAAGTTTGAGAAACACCAGCCTAGGCTAAGCAGGGAAGCCCAAAAACAGAGACAGGTGTGTCCCATGAAATCGTTAGGGGACGAGCCTAATTTGCGAGAGGCTTTTTGTGTTTTGCAAACCGAAG